ATGCGTTCAAACTGCATATACATGCGTACAAACTTTAGCCAAGACATGCAGCAGGGAATATTTAACATCAGAACTCAGTAACATACTAATTTAAATTATTTAAACTGTTGCACATTTCCGTGTAAAATTCATTACGTCTTAGAAAATTTTAGTTTTCACACGTTTGGTGAGAAGTGCAATAAGTGATGTATCTAAAAATAAAAACACATATTCTCAACCCATGTTTGGATTCTTTCCTATCTATTTGGTCCGAGATATTTTTGTCTACTCACCTCAGATTTTGATAACTTGAACTGAAAACGGATCCTGGTAATGCCCCGTAAGGATCACACAAAAAAAACCGTTTTTTTTTATTGGCACTTTGAACTTAGTCTTTTTTTTTAATAACCACTTTACACGCTTGTATTGCGACACTTGTAGACTCCACCGTAACTTTACTAATAAACTTCTCGGTCTTTCTTGGCGGCATTTTATCGGGCATGGTATGGCCGAGAATGTCACTCATGCCTCACCGACTCAACCCCCGATCGGCCGATCCAGTCACTCATCTTCGAAAATTTTCACCCATACACACTCACAACCTTCAACTGCTTTATCACCGCCGAGTTAGCAAGGTTTCGCACCTTAGCCTGCCTACTATGTTGGATTTGAAAGTGTGGCTACTTTCACTTCCTTCACACATGCATTAGCACATACACACACATGTAAACACACATACCAAGTAACAGCTGGCGTTACAGGCTCACGACCGCCGATGGTGCCTGCACCATGGAGCGTCCGCGTAGAGAAATTCTAAGGCAGCCTGCAAACTACGTCACAGGTCACTACTACGTCCAGGTATAGTTTTGTAACTTATACTTATATCACAGATTGATAATTAAATAGATAGATACATACTACGTAAATAAATAAGTAATTAAATAAATAAAAAGAAAATAAATACGATAATCAAATAAATAGTCAAGTGTATTAGTAAATATCACAGATATAAATAAATGCCTTAATTAATTAATAAATATAAGTCAATAAATAAGTGAGTTAATAATTAAATAAATAAGTAAATAAGAAAATAAATACAAAAATAATCAACTAAGTAGTCAAGTAAATAAGTAAATATCACAGATGAACAAATTTTCGTCACTATAAAATATATTGAAATAAAATGTCAAGTTGTAGAATAAAAATATAAATACACATATATCTAGTCAAGTAGTTAAGGACACTGGGTGGTAACCTATGCAAGTCAAGTCATTACTTATACAATTAACAGGAACAGTCTCTAACACTAGACGCGTAAAAAACATACCTTTGAGTGTGACAAAATGTAGACGGCGTCGTTTTCCAATTTTGTATGGGAAACAACAACACCACAGATTTTACGGTTAGAAAACGTCTTAAAATGTAGACGTCTACATTTTGAGACACTATTTGGAACGAACTGTGAACACCCCAATTGAATTTCCGATTATTTTCAATACAATGCACTTAACTTGTTTTGGGCAAGTTTAGCGTTGTAGTTTTCAACTTGGGAACTCTGCTTGAAGTTTCGGCGGTACACCACTTGTCTAATTTGAAACTTCACTTCTCGACTTCTGGTATTGTAGGTCTTCTTACTCCGTTCATGGGCTAGCTTTAATTCTTTCACGATCTTATTTCGGATAAGCTGTGTTTTATCTGCCACCTTTTCGACCTCGCAGTCTGCATCTCTAACCGCCCCCAGCCTTCGGTATAGCTCGTATGATGCAGAATGCTGTATCATAGGCATACCGAAGACTGCATGATACGGGGTATCATTGATCGCAGAATGCACGGCACTGTGGAGAGCGAAAGCGGAATCGCTAAGGTGCTTATCCCAATTATTTTGGTCGCCCTTAATATAGGACCTCACGATTTGTAGCACCGAACGGTTGACCCTTTATGCTGCATTGGCTTGTGGTGCATAAAATGCAGTCCGAACATGCTGCGTACCATACTTTTTCAGAAATTGCGTAAATATGTCCGAGACAAATTGTTTCCTGTTGTCCGAGTGGGCATACTCTGGCACGCCAAAAATATGGAAAACTTCGTTCTCTAAGAACCTAATAACTTCGGCAGCCGTGGCTTTTCTCATTGGTTTTAAAAATACGAACTTCGAGAACTGATCTAAACACACAAACACACAGACATTTCCACAACACGTACGGGGGTACGGACCCATGAAGTCAATGAATAAGCATTGAAAAGGCCTTTCAGTGACACGCTGTTTGCCCATCACTGGGTTGTGGAAGGCGTTTTGCGTTTTGTTGCCTTTACAGATTTCGCAAGCTTTTACATAGTTTTATACGTCGGTAACCATGCCGGGCCAATAATATTTTTCTCTTAGGCGAGCTAAAGTTTTATGCAGTCCACCGTGACCAACAGACGGTGAATCATGCGAGGATTCCACAAGCCCACGGCGCAGCTCTGTCGGCACCCAGAGTTTCCACGCGTGGTCCTGCTGAACGTCAGCCCTACTATTAAATTGCGTCCGTTTGTATACGTAACCGTCCGATGTGCAAAGTTCGGGTAGTCTGTCTTGGCTGCAGGTCACCGTATTTTTAAGCTGCTCATATTCGTCCGTCTTGAAAAATGGTGAGTCTAAGCATACATCCAATATTCTGTCCTTTACCGCCAACTCTTCCGTGTTCATCCGCGACAGTCATCTGGCACGATATTTTGGGACCCCTTTCGATGCTGAATTTCAAAGTCATAAGCCTGGAGCTTTAAGCTCCACCTCGCGAGTCTGCCCGATAAATCCTTTTGTTTCCTCAACCATTTTAGGCTCGCGTGGTCAGTTATCACCGTGAAAGGGAGTCCCTCCTTATACGGCCGAAATCTTTCAATGCTCAGCACTGCGGCATAGCACTCTAACTCTGTAATACTGTAGTTGCGCTGCGCTTTGTTAAGCTTGGCCGAGATGTATGCTATTGGCCGCTCGTTACCGTCATCGTCTAGCTGAAATAAAACCCCGCCCACTCCGTCCGTTGACGCGTCACATTGAATGTAAAAGTGTCTGTTGAAGTCTGGGTAGGTCAATACTGGTGCTGAAATCAGACTCTCTTTCAAATGATTAAACGCCTTTCTGCCTTCGTCCGTCATTGCAAATTTGTTTATTCTGTCTTTTTTGGGGCTGTCGTGCAGCGGAGCTGCAATTTCGCGTAGTCTTGTATAAATCTCCGGTACCACCCTTTCCCCGCCTGAGCTGCTTCGGGGTTCGTGGCTCCGGAAAATCCCTCATGGCTGCGACTTTGCTCGCGTCTGTACGGATACAACCGTTACCCACGACGTACCCAAGGTACCGTACCTCCTTAAAACAAAATTTACTCTTTTGAACGTTTATTATAAGTTTGGCTTCACGAAGACATTTAGCGTCTTTTTCCAACAAGGACAAATGGGACACAAAATCTTCCGAACACACAAGTAAGTCATCCAAATAAACAAACACAGATTCACGAAGATTAGCGGGTATGACCTTGTCCATGAGCCTACACATACGTTGTGCTGCATTGCACAACCCAAATGGCATGACCGTGAAATGATACAACGGTCGAGCTGGTACGGTGAATGCCGTTTTATCCCTGGACTTTTTCTCTAATGGTATCTGCCAGATTGCATCCTTTAAATCAATTGCAGATATAAAGCTAGTATTCTGCAGTCGACTTAGGACACCGCACAATGTGAGGCGTCTTTAATGGTCCGTGGATAAGCGTCTTTAATGGTCCTTTCGTTTAACTTGCGAGCGTCCAGACAGAGGCGATGTTTGGTCCCTTTTATAACGAGTGAAACTGGCGAGTTCCAACTACTGTTAGACTCTTCTATTACTCCCATCTCAAGCATCCGATCTAATCCATTATAAACAAGTTTCTGTATAGCTGGGGATATTGGATAGTGCCTCTGCTTTACTGGGAGGTTCTCGTTGGTCACTTCTATCACATGTTCTTATTTATCTGTCTTGCCTAGTCTGAACACGGCGAAGGACGGGAAATGTGCCTTCACACGCTCTAATGCCACAGTTTGATCGTGAGTCAAGTCGTGTTGTCCTGCATCGAAGGTAAGGTCTCCTTCGGCAGGTACAAGCTCTGAAACACCAGCACCATTCACACTCGCCGGCACTCCTCTGCTAACAACACTCATATCAAATGCCTTCCAAAAATATATTCCTATGTACACCTCTTGTTGCAAGCCGGGTACGATCAAGAACTCTAAATCTCGCGTTATATTATCCCACAAGACGGGGAGAGTAATGACATCCACCACCGCGGCTTCTCCACTGTTCGCGGTTCGGATTTTCTGCCCATTGGTTGGTAGTATAATACTTTCTTTACCTTCCAGAAGCTTGTCACCATTCTTGCCTAGGCAACTAGCCCCTGCTCCTGAATCCAATAAGGCTAACACCTCCTGGTCTCCTATTATTTTTTGGCGAAGAACCTGTGGTCTCCTTTAATAGTAACGATTGTTGAGATTATCTTGCAACATATTCTTTTCATATTCTTCTTCTTTGGTCTGAAGAATTTCCTCACAAAAGATGCGTCTACGCGCCTCCTCATATTCCAGCTTTCTCTGATGCAAGCTTTTTACTACCTGGTTTGCTAATCTTTCTTTCTGCTCCTTTGCCTTATTCTCTACCTCTCGTTTAAGAATTTTCACGGGGCTGGATCCGGGAGCTCCTCTCCTGGCGCAAGTTCCCGAACAACTGCGCCAGTTTCTGGTTTCCCTGCCTAGGCTTAAATACACAAAACGACGAACTACCACCACACGCGAAACAGACCATATCATGGAAGGAACACTTACATTTACTACGGGACTCTACGGGGTTCTTGACATAATAATCTACAGGCATACCACAAGAGAAACATAACATTAGGTGAAACGGGGACGGACAAAAAGCGTTAATCGAAGACTTCTGGACCTCTGCACTAACATCTGGACTAACGAACGTTGTTGTGTCTTATTGCACACACTTTTATCTACTGTCGACTCACCTTTCATATAATGGAACTCTACTTCACTTATTGGTTTAGGCCTACTCCTATTTTCCTTAATAACTTTTTCGGCTCGTTTACACTCAGATTTGAGTTCAGCTAATGTGCTGATTTTGGAAGCGAAGGTTAAATTTGACTGGTATAGTTTGAGGTTGCTTCTAATTATGCTGACAAGCTCCTGTTCGGGGATCCTCTTCCTGAGACGAAAAGTTAAAATATGTTCATCGCTATAAAAATCTTCGAAGCTTTCTTGGGGCAGGTGTTTCCTCTCCATAATTTCTCTGATAATCTCATAGTCCGACTCGGCTGGCCTAAAGTGGTTCAGCAGTTCGGCCTTCAGCTCGAAGTAACCAAAGTCAGGTTCATCAGCGTGGTCTTCGAGCAACTGCCAATACCGCTTTAAGGCGCTGACCGTGACTATGCAGTGGAAGTCGGTGAATAACTGGTAGTAGCTGATGCCATACTGCTCCCTCATCTTTTCTAAACGAAAAATGAAGCTTTCCACCGTCATACCTTTGCTAGTACCATCAAACTTTACGTGCCATTTGTCTAAATCAATTTTCCTATTTCTATTTTCATTATGTGAACGCGGGTGACTGGCATTCTGCTCCTCTTCTCCATTGGTCCTTTCACCATTTGTAGCGCGTCGAGTTTCTGGTGTGGAAACCATAGCCGGTCTATTACCATTTCCCTGTACCGAGGTCTCTACCTCGCCTACTCTATTATTTAAAGTCACAACATTTTCTCGTATGTGGCGGATCTCATTCGTACATTGAGCCATCAGGTCAACTTGTTGTGCCATCATTTCCATTAAGCGGCTCAGCTGTTCGACACTGACGGATGTAGAACTTGGTCCACCATCATTAGACTTCGAACCCCCTGGTTCTTGACCGTCTGACTGCATATTCCCCCCTGTCTGCTGCTCCTGCTTAGACATTGGCATCAACTCTCCGATCTTCTGCGAAAAAGTCAAGCTATTATCTGTAGCGTTCAGTTCTACCTCTTGAGTAACCCTAACTGTAGGTGGGCGCGGCGCTACTTGCGATGACGTTTCAAAGATATCAATTTGCGTAAATAGGGACCCAACCACTTGATTCTCTAATGTTCGTGCCACACTACGCGGTTTGAATTTAGCAGAACTAACCCACCTGGAATCCGTCGCTCTTCTTCACGTTCTCCCATTCAGTCAACTAAATACACTAACACACGCCTCTTACACAGACCCCTTCACGAAATGAATTACTTGAAACTTGTGAATTCAAAACTAACTCGTAAGACCAAAAAAATCAGAATAAAAAAAATACCGAGAAAAAATTCAAACAATAATAAATATAAAATAAAAAGTTATACAATGCAGTAGAAATTCAGTGATTAGAAATAGAAATTGAAACGAAGAAATTATTCAAAAAACCAACAAAAAAACTCCCAAACCCTCAGAAAGAGCTAAATACAACTAAATCTATTTATACATCGTATAACAGAATTCAAAAAAAAATATCAGGACTAAACTTCAAATCAAATTTCAATAAAAACATTAAGTGCAATCGGAAAACTACAGATTGCTAGAAACCTAGCAAAAATTTAGAAGCTCGGGTAAAATTAAACAGAGATCAGAATTCCGATCGAAATCAAGCAAATGTAATAAGAACCGAAGAAAAAGACTTAAAAATTTCTTGGGTACAAAAATATAAGGAATGAAGATAAAGAAAATAAAAAAAATTTAAAAGAAATTCAACACAAAACCAAGGATTCAAAAATTCACTATTTAAAAAAAATTTAAAATTCAAGTGACTATTTCAACTACAATCAAAAATAGTAAAAATTTAAAACCGCAATAGCAAACTATTTCCAAGAGGGCCGAATAATACCCAACTCCCGAAAGAGCAAATCAAAATAAGAGAAAGCGAAGTCCCGGAAAATTTCAGCACAGCGGGTCTCCAAAAATCCAAAATTCAAAAAGGGAAATAAAAACCTAAGTAATAAGATTATTAAAATAAGCACTTAAAACGAACTCGAAAGAAAATTCAAAACAAACCAAATAAAAAATAATAATAATTCACCAGCAATAATAAAACTCCAAATCTTACCTATCAGAGTTATATATTTATATGAGTATAGGGAAAAAGGTAGGACAAATAAGCATTTAAGAAATAATGTTTTCAAAGCATGTACGTAGGTATGTATCATAACATGCAATATATATGGATACGTATGTATAAAGAAAGTAAATATGTATTCCTAATAAACCCAGCAAAAAGTATGGTAAGAATGAAAGAAAATTAATTGTAAACCAAGAAGACAATTTATTCCATTGGTTTCGTTTCTATCCACAGGCGTATATGCATATGTATGTATATACCGACAGATTGTTTTGTATCGTCCAATGTTGGAGTCATCTAGTTGTAGTTGTTCAAGTGTGGCATGTCAACTACCAGTTTCGTAGCTCCAGGAGTGGATGCCACACTTCCCCCTACATACAAACTACCCCCGCGAAAACTTACAGGGAGCGTCACTTGTGTGCGGTGCTGGACTACACACCACGTAGCTCAACTAGTCAGCCTTCATGCAAGCAAAACAAAAAAAACCAAAATGAAAAATGTAACACTTGCTGTGATCACCCAACCTCGAATGTCACTCCAAATTGCGCTGCGGCAACTTTAAAGGCACTTCCAAGTTGTAATGATCATCCCACCCGCTGTTGTCAGTCGGACACAAATCACTCACGGTGACCGCTAGTGATGTTGTCATCTTGACCCTATCCTGTCCGATAGAAAGCTAGAAATGAAAGAAAGGAATCTATAATATACGGCAACAGAAGAAGTGATAGAAGAAAACGAGTAAACAGTTAAAGCGAAAAAATATGGGGAAAAAATAAAAACTATGAGCTATTTTCGTTGGGCGCCATTGTTACGTGGGTGATCTGTCCGGTAAGAGCAGGTGGTGCAAAGGCATGGTGGCGAACCCGGTCTAGCTCCTCGGATGGGGGGGTCTTTACCACCTGTCTTACCTACACCCACATCAACAAAAAATTTTTGATCCTGCCTGCTTGTCTTAAAAAAGTGGAAGAAATCAAGCTAAGAAGCGAAAAGACGAAAAGGTGTCAAGAAAAGGAGTCGTCCCTCCCCTTCTACGCGAAACCTACGCGTAGCCATCTATAATTCAGGGAGTTGCTTACACTAAACTTATTACTATGTGCTTTATTAAACAACCTAAAAAACGGCAAAAAAAATCCTCAACCTATTTTCAAATTGTGGATATTAACAGGCATCTACGGAGAAATTCATTGATTCATTTCACAATCCAACGAAGATCAATTCAAATGCTACTATTCCAACATCATAGGGAAAATTAAATACCACAATTCTAATAAATAAAATTTTTCATGATAAAAGGAAAATCTTAATCGAAAATATGAATTTCTTCTACCTACTCCTTTATTACTGCAATACGTTAACTTATATTATTCACAAATTCAAAAATTAAAATTTTAATTCAATTCAAAAATTTAATTTCTGTTTTTTTTTTGAACCACCCTAACGTTGAATTTCTGCCTATAGGTGAAAAGAGACGCACTTCACTTTGTCATTAAGAAACCTGACTTGTGTATAATTTACGCAAGGAAAATGTATATCTGTATGTAGATATCTCTACATAAATATTTATGAACAAATGTATGTATGTATATATGTATATGAATCAATTTAGAACTCACCTTAATAGTCCAACGATGTTGGCGCCAGCATACGGAGAGGACCTGTGGGGAATTGAGAGCAAACATACATATGTACATACATATATAAAGCAACCGCTGAGGGGCTGACACCTGCGCTGTTTGGCAATTTTGGTCACTCGCTCCTGTTGGGCACAGTGAGCGGGTCAGTTAGCAAAACTACGTTTAATAAAATTTACGAGAGAAAAAAAATAAAAATTTTAATAAAATCGAATGAAGCAAGACAAAGGGCGTGTAAATAAATGAACTAGATCAACAAGTGGCTATTATACTAAAAAAACTAAGACTATCATAGAGAGAGGGGTTGAAAGAACCAAAAGAATGTGCAATAAAAACTAAGGCCTACCAGCTTTACGGAAATATTATACTTGAAAATAATTACATTATCTGTTTTTAAGTGGGTAACAACAATAATAAGCGTATTAATGTGCAAAGTAAATTAATTATTCGCAATTGAAATAAAAAAATAAAGGAAAATTTATGATAGCAAAAACAACAGAAAACACACGCTTAATTGTCAAAAATAGGCAAAGGAAATACGTAAAAAAAGTGATAATGGGCAAACTGGAAAAAAATAATACAAAAACTGCACGTAGGCACTAGCTTGGCGGCGTTGGCGCCGGTGCGATCGTACATCTGCCGGCGCTGCTGGAACGATGTATGTATGTTTTCCCTCGCTGGTAAGTACACAGTCTCTCTCGATTTCCTCTGGTGGATTTCCAATCTGCACAGTGGTATTGGAAACTACAATTGACCGCGGCCGTTGACCCAATTTTTTTTCCAAATTGTCACAGCTGGCTGTCGGAATGTAATACGTGTACATATGTATGTCGCGGCTGTTAGAAGCCTATGTTAACATACATAGGTACTGGCTCCGATTAAATGCACGTATGTTGGTGTGGGTGCGTGTTGCTGCCACCAAATATTGGTCGAGCAACTATTCGTGTTGGGTGCTTAGCTCGTGTATCTTGCCTCAAATGCTCACACAACCGGGCAGTGGTGGAATTGTTTAAAGTCCTGGCTGCTAATTCGGTGGACGTGTCGCTTGACGTCTACCCCAGCGGGGACTAATTGATCTCCAATTATACCCATAAGAGATGAGTCGACACTAATTGATCTCCATTAGTACCCGTATGAGTCTAGTTGCGACTAATTAATGCCCTATTGTACCCGATTGAGAGTAATCTCGGAATGCAGTTATATGCATATACGTATATGTATGCTTATACGAGTTTGAGTTTGTGCCTTATGCGTTCAAACTGCATATACATGCGTACAAACTTTAGCCAAGACATGCAGCAGGGAATATTTAGCATCAGAACTCAGTAACATACTCATTTAAATTATTTAAACTGTTGCACATTTCCGTGTAAAATTCATTATGCCTTAGAAAATTTTAGTTTTCACACGTTTGAAGAGAAGTGCAATAAGTGATGTATCTAAAAATAAAAACACATATTCCCAACCCATGTTTGGATTCTTTCCTATCTATTTGGTCAGAGATATTTTTGTCTACTCACCTCAGATTTTGATAACAGGAACTGAAAACGGATCCTGGTAATGCCCCGTAAGGATTTTTTTTTTGTTTGGTATAACCACTTTACACGCTTGTAATGCGACACTTGTAAATTCCACCGTAACTTTACCAAGGTCGGTGTTATGCAGACAAACTTTTGTTTCCCAAATTAAATGGCGGCTGCGTAGTTTGCTCGGAGGTGGTTATGTCGAGTTTGGCACAGGGTTGCACGTTCATTATGGTTTTCATGGCTATTGCCAACACGAAACGAGAATTTGTAGTACATAACGCGCACATTTAATATATTTTTTATGATATCCTATAGGCAATTAACTGTGCCCTAATCTTTGAAGCTCCTACATCATAAATTCAGTTCTCTGCCTTTCGGTATCACGGCAATTTTTGTGTATAGCAACATTTGTCTAAAATTTTTGTATATGACAACACCGAATTTGCTGCAGTTTAACCAAGCAAAACTAGTTTGCTGTGAGAGTCGCCAAACTCGCTCTCTCCGAGTTTGCTGCAACAACAATTGCACGCAGTTTGCCAAACAAAATTTCTGCATAACACCGACCTAATAAACTTCTCGGTCTTTATTGGCTGCATTTTATCGGGCATGGTATGGCCGAGAATGTCACTCATGCCTCACCTACTCAAT